TTCTAAGCGCATGCTCACACTTGGACTTTTCAAAATGCATCTGACTGCAATTACGGCCAGACCTGGATGAATCTGCCAGACCTGGATGAATCTGCCAGACCTGGATGAATCTGCCGGCAATCACGTCCAGAACTTAGGGCCTCGTTAGACACTCCTTACGGTTTCCTTGAGCCACAAGGATACGTCCTTGTGGATTTCAGGGGAATTTGCGGCGTCTTTCCACTCATCCTTGGGGATGTTCCCCGAGAATGTTTCCTTGTGGCTTCCCCGCGGCCGTTTGGGTCGGACGTCCTTGGTCCAGCTTCTTTTGTCCGTGCGGAGGCGCCGTGGTCCAGCGACGCGAGGCGGGAAACGGCCAAAGGCGGGCGACGCGGAAATTTAACCCCAAGGGCGTGGGCAGTTCAAATTCAAAATTCGAACGACTGCTGTGACGACGACGACGACGTGTGCCTGGCGGCGCGAGGGTGTCGTCCTGCGGAAAGGGGCTGAGCGGCGACGGAGGTTCCGTCCCCAGGCCGTTGCGACTGCGTGGGCAGCGTTTGGTGCTTCCATCGCCGTGGACCTTTGCACACGTCGACTGCGCGTTGCTCCTCTTTGCCGTTTGCGGGACTGTCAACATAGAAAAGGGGCCGCCTTTCGTCGGACGTGTTCGACTTCTTCGACGTGTGCGGAAGTACGACACAGACGGCAATGGAACGACAGGACCGTTTCGACATCGCGGCTATGGAGGGCGGCACAGAGGGTAGACGTGATCCGTTGACTCATCGTGAGCTGCAGGCCGTGGCGACGGCCGTGTCGACGATCGTTCTTCGATGTCAGCAGGAGAGGGCGCTTGGGCGACTGAAGGAGCAGTTGTGCGCGCGTAGACGGAGGAAATTGACGCAAGATCCGTTCGATGGGGCCGATTACGTGGCGACGTTGGAGGCTGTTGTTCAGCTGTGCTACGCGTTGGGTTGCGGAGTGATACCACGTGTGACGCCGTGGTGGTGGGTGAAGCRCAGGACAGGAGGCACGTGGGAAGACCTCAGGCAATGCGACGACGCGACAGACGACTACTTCCTGGATAAGCTTCGAATGTCGCMGYGAGTGTTCAGGGAAATCGCGGAGGMGTAAGCGCCTCATCTTCAGCGGCGGGTCAYGTTCTACAGGGAGCCATTGCAGCCGGACCGCCAGGTGGGGATTGAYGATCCGAGTGTGCGTTGCCGCTGCTCCGCTGCTGCTGGACAACTGGAAGTTGAGATCAACCGCTGCATTGCCGTCGTCGTCGCACAGCCCCTCGTTCAGCAGT